TGAGAGGCAAGGGTACTCACATTAAAAAAGCACCCCGATCTGTGAGAGGCAAGGGGACTCACATTAAAAAAGCACCCGAAGAGAACATAAAACTACTACGTCCTCGTTGTTGTTCCTGTGTAACGCTAAAAGTAGTTTCTCGGAAAAATTCAACGCTATCTATCACGAATGAAAAAAATTGTTTCAATAAAAATTTCACGTACAATCTAATTCTGCAATGAAAAATGTGGGTCCCCATTTGAGATTTGAACGTTATATATAACAGGTATTTTTTATTTCTCAATCCAATGACCATTTCTGGAGAATTGCGGAAAATATAATTTTTTGCGATTACAGCGCCATCTATCACGAATAAAAAAAAAAGTTTCGGACAAAATTTACGTACTTTGTGGCGTAGAATCTGTATCTGCAATAAAAAATGGGGATTTCCATTTAAGATTTCAAAGTTGCCCCCAACCCCCACCGCCAGGGGGTGGGGTGGGAGGTCGAGTTTGGTATCATTGGATGTCCCCCTTCGAGACTAATAACTTTCATTAGCCACTTTTTTTTATCCAATGCATAGTTCTCGAGATATTTCAATGTCTTCAGATAAATCGTACATCCTGTATAAGTATCACTTCTTGTATCTAAAATAACATAACTATAATTTTAGCATTTAAGAATGCTGAAGGAAAAAAATAAGAAAATCGCAAAGTAGTTTAAACGTTACATTTATGAGGAACACTTTTTATTCACACAGTTAATCGTCACGTTAGATATAATAGATTAGAACATAAAAAAATGTGAAAGAAAATGTGCACATCTTTTTATTTTATATTACACAAAACGATACTCATATTTTTCTGTAATTTTATATTTGTTATTTGTTGCAGGATAATGACAAAGAAAATTACGACGAAACTCAATGCGGCAAGCCAGACAAATGTTCACAAACGTTGTCTGTTCTCAGACAACTTTACCAAAAATACATACCAGTATGTATTATTGTTTAGTAATTTTAACATAACAATGTATCGAGTATACATTGATCGATATTACATTTTATGTGATTTTTGATATTTTATGTGATTTTTTGCAGATATATCCAAGCATATACAGATGTGACTCAAACAATGAAAATGTCAAGAAAGGTATGTAATTAATATTTACTTCCAAAACGAAATGAGAAAATGTGTCATTAATAATCGAAATATATTTTACAATAGAAAAATGCGAGACTATAGTCTCCAAGGCTGGATTAGTGGAAGATGCCTCGAAACAGTTCAATAGAAAGTCAGAAACAAGGTAAATATGTTTCCGATTTACATAATTTATCAAAGAAAGCGCTTGTAAATATGTGTAAAATCATCAATGCTTTTATTGGTACATATCGTAAGTCATTTTGCATATACAGAAGTAAATAATTACTTGGAAGGTGTCGGAATATAGTAAATAACATATATATAGTATAGAATATAGTAAATATTTTGGTAAATATTTTGATTAAATAGTATTGAATTAAATTGATCTGTGAAACTGGATGAATCCTTGAATGCTCTTAATATAAATTTTTCTAGCAGTTCCTATATTATCATTTTATTCTAAAAAATAATTTTATTCCAAAAATAAGGAAAAATCGTTTGGTAAGAAACATAGGAGTGTTTCATAATAGCGTACGAAAAAGTTTTAAATAATAATGTTTATTAACTGTTTCGCCCTTCGGGGAAAAAATTCTGAATGCACGACAATCAAAGAAAATGGTCAACATTGCCTTAATTTTTTATTGACCACTCATATATCTGTGTTTTTTAAATACTATTATCTCCATATACTTTTTGTAGCAGTTTCAAAGCGTTGACACAAGAAATTTCATCGAAAACAAAATTTAAGGCAAATTCTTTGCTCTATAATATTCGATATTGTAAAAATCGCGACATTATTTTATTAAATATGAAGTGTACTAAATATGATGTGTAAGTTTATTGAAACAGAAAGTCAGCTAATTTGTATTACAGAAATATTGGTCACAGAGGAGATGAAAATGCAATTAAAAGCTTAGGAAAACCTATGAATTTAAATATATTTAGCATACCTAACGACATTTTATCTTAAATAATAATACAAAAAAGAACCAAATAATACAAAAAAGAACCACTCAAACGCAAAAAACCCGGTACACTAAAAATTTGGGAAAAAATTACAAAATTTCAAATGATCATAACTTGGTAAATAATGAAGATACAAATATGCGCAGAAATGCAAAATGAAGCTTGAAACGTCCTCTTTAAGAATATCTGAATGGCAATTATGCTCGGCCATTTTTTTCAAAATGGCGGATGATAAAGTGAGAGGATGCAAAATTGATAATCAAAGGTCCGTGTTTGCGATGGTGCATGGTGTGCATCAGGTATCGCAGCGTAATGGGACCAAATGCACATGAAAGTATAGAGTGTTATCTTTAAAATGCTACTTTACCGAGCTCGATGTGATCATTTTTCACTGAGTTGTTCCAAATTTTGCTAAAAATGCGGTTTTCTTGTTAAATTTGCATAATTCAGTGAATAAATATCGCATCAAGCTCTATAACGAAATATTTTAAAGAAAACATTCTATACTTTTAGGTACTTTTCGTCCAATTGAGCTGCGACACTTACTTTGCTCCATGCGCCGTCGCACGCTCGAACCTTTTTTTAGCAACTTTTCATGTTCTTCTTTTTATCACCCGCCATTTTGAAAAAATATCGTTGCGCACAATTTCGATAGATCTTTCGAAAAGTACGGTTTCAAAACTTTCAAACCGATTTGAAATTTGCTGCTAGGATATTTAGGTGTCGAGATATTCAATTTCGAATTTGCAACAAATGTCGATTCAGCGAGGCTTAAGGGGCTAAGAGGCTGTGCGGTTCGTTTGGCTCTTTCATAATTTCAATAGCTGTGTTCATGTTTGTCTATATAATAATTTACATAACCTGCACAATATATTCAATGATTTGCATTTATTATTTTGAAAGCCAGTGAAATGAAAGTAAAATTCAATTTAGGTTCATTTTGCGTAATCGATATTACGTAATAAAGATGAATTGCGTTTTAAGATACCGCTGTCATTAGCTCAAATTATGGTTGTAAGTCTTGTCAATATAAACCGCATGGAGTTTTACTGGTAGAAAAAGTCCTATTGTATGTAGTGTGTGTGTGTGTGTTTGTATACCACAAGGATAAGGACCCCGTGGTTCGTCAGCTCCACAGTATTTCAAGATTTCACACCCTCCTTGTGGTGTGTGTGTGTGTGTGTGTGGTGTTACAGCAGAGATAAGGACCCCGCAGTTCGTCACTCCTGCAGTAATTAATGACTCCAAACCCTCTCTGCTGTGTGTGTGGTGTGTGTGTACTAATAGTGGGTATGACTGCCTCGTATGCGTATTACCTCATTCATACGATCAGGCATACTCCTTATTAGTCTTTTAATTTCATCCTGCGTAATTGTATTCCATTCGTTTTCGAGAATTATTCACAGTTGCTGAGGAGCAGGTACGTGATTTCGTACTTTCCTGCCGAGGTTGTCCCATAAGTGTTCGATTGGATTTAAATCTGGACTATTTGCTGGCCAATCGAGTCGATTTATGCCAACTTCATCCAAGAAATCAAGCACTCTTCTCGCAGTGTGTGGTCGAGCATTGTCTTGCATAAACAAGAAGTTCTCTCCGATGAAGGGTGCGTACGGAACAACATACGGAATGAGTATGTCTTCCACGTATACATCTGCGTTCATATTCTTGTCAAAAAAGTGCAGATCTGTATGAGCATTAGCTGAAATTCCTGCCCAAATCATTACAGAGCCTCCATTGTAGCTATGCCTCTCACTTACCGTACAGTCTGCAAATCGTTCTACACCGCGACGATAAACTCGTTCTCGTCCATCTGGAGAATAGACACAAAAACGAGATTCATCGCTAAAAAGTACTTTGCTCCAGTCTGCATAAGTCCAGTCTCTATGCTCAACTGCAAAATTGAGTCGAGCTACGCAATGGTGACATTTAAGCAAAGGTACAGCTGCTGGCCTGCGCGAAAGCAGATTTTGTTCCTTTAATCTTTTCCGAACGGTGTTAACGGATACATTAATGTTGTGGACATCCCTTAAATTGTTTCTAATTTGAACAGATGTTCGATGTCTGTCTCTTAACGAATTTGAAACAATAAATCGGTCATCATTGTGATTGGTACATCGAGGACGTCCCGAACCAGGCCTTCTATGGAAAGAATTGGTTTGTAAGTACCTGGCATAAGCACGTTGCACAGTTGACACTGACAAATCAAGTGCCTGAGCAACGTACCTTCGATTTCTGCCATCTTCAATTAAAGCAATAACTTGAGCAGCCTTTTCAGGATTTATCGTCGCCATAATCGACGCAATAATTTCGATGCGAAACAATCAATTATGGTTTAAATTGATGAAGTTGCACGAAGCAACGCGCCTCGAAAGGAAAAGATCACGGAAAAAGAAAAGTCGCACGAGGCAGCGCTTATCGGAGTGAACACGTTCGGAAAAGGAAAATTGTTTGTCTTTGTTTATTGTCTTGGCACATACATTTAAGAAAAATCCAGTCAAGCCAGGCGTTAAAGCCCGGCGCACCGACAGAATCTCAGTCAAGCCAGAACGTAAGCCCGGCGTACTGACAAACTCGCGAAGTCAAGCGTACAAGAGATAGTGCCACTATCGGCGGTGGACCGTACGAAGGCCAAAAGCTGTACGAAGGCAATCTCTGATCGTCTCCGCGGGCACTCTTATATGCCCAGTAGCGGGATTCTGTAACTCGTTATAATTATAACGATACATGACGTTACGGTAACAATACCGACTTTCGTCGTGTGTAACGAGATATTGATACCAACTACGCGATTCTCTAACTCAGAATAGCGACACTCTGACGTTACAGAATGTGGTAACGAAACGTCGTTATTTAATGTTGTCGTTATGCGTGGAAGAAAAGAGGAAATGACGTATACATGTCAAATTTTGGGGGAAAATTCGTAGGTTGGTATTTCACGTGGAAAAGGTTATGGATAAGTCAGTTGATTTGAAACTTATTATGAAGATCCTGGGCCGCACAGACTCACAAGGACAATTCAGACGAGTGAAAATAGAGTTCCGGCAAATAAAATCGACAAATTATCAAAACATGAAAGGTCCGGTACGTGAAGGTGATCTTTTAACCTTGTTTGAATCTGAGTTTGAGGCAAAAAGATTCTAATAACCAGAGCAGCAATTTTGATTGACGTAGAAAAAATCATTGCCAGGTAATTTGAATTTGATAAGGTTATTGTCTTGAACAATACTCGAAAGATCTTAGCTGTCACTTATTATTTATTAAAAAGTTATTAACAAAAGAAGTTTTGTTTGACTGTTATTTGATTTTTCCTTTTTTAATAAAACCTTCCTTTCCTTTTTTAATAAAACAAGTAGCAAGAAGGTTAGAGATAACTACAGCAAAGTATAAAAGTGCAAGAGAGTTATGAAAATATTTTATTGTTAATTGTACAAAAGACAAGAATCTTGGATGAAACCAATTGTTAGATTATCTAAGTCTCTTGTACTTTGTTGTAACTACCACAAATCTCCTTATTAAATTGTGTATTTATTTTTTTATAAATATAATTTTACATAAATTAATTATAAATTAATTTAAAAATATTATTTCATGACAGCAGCATTTTAATAAGTCTGTTCGTTTTCGCTGCACTACTGAATCGATACTATAAGTTACAGTGAGACAAATATAAGTTTATATATAAGTTTATATATAAGTGATATATCTTATTGTAATAACTTAAGCGCAATGACTTCTATATCGCAGTAAGTATGCAAAATTTTAATAAAATAAATCAATTTCAGGTATAATCTATTACACGTATGCTAATAATTTTTTTTTCAGACAAAATGGAACAGGGATTAAGAAGAGGCAGGCGAAAGCAACGTCAGCACAAATAGATTATATGGTGGACTATTTTGTACAGCATCCACATGTAGCAACATGCAAATTCCAAACTCTACACGGGAACGCAGATTTAAGAGGGTCATGGGAGCAATTAGTCGCTCACTTAAATACTATGGGAAGAAATGGGAAGTCAAAAGATATAAAGTCATGGAAATCGGTAAGTCAATAATATTTAAAATATTATGTGTAACATGCCAGCAAACACAATGTTAGATGTAACGTACATGTTAGTTGTAATTTCCTAATCAACAATATAATTGTTATATGACATATATGTTATGTAACAGTTATATTGTTGAGCAGGAAATTACAACCAACATGTATTATACGTTACATCTAATATTGTGTTTGCTGGGATGTAACTACGTTGGATATATTTTCGTAATACATGCTTTAGACATGGCGAGATAATAAAACAGCAGTTTCCCAAAAAGTTGCTAAAATCCGTGCTAATAAAGTTACGACAGGGAACATTGGTGGTCCTCCTATCACACTGACGGATCGAGAAAAAAAGATTTTAGGCCTTATAGGACTAAATTATGTGGAAGGTGTACAATGTCCTGATTCATTTCCAGAGGAACAGGTAGTGAAAAAGTTTTAAATATAACTGTAATCATTTTTCTAATATAAAATATTAGGTGTAGTAAAAAGAAATCCATTATTTTTGCATGAAATTGAAGGCTTTAATTACCATAGTTAGAATGATCCGATTTAGGTCAAATATGCGCTGTTTTGTTCGATAACTTGTTGCCATTTGGAAGGTAATTTCATTATGCCTCTCTCATAGAAGCCCTCGTCCCTATTGGCAAAAAATTGAGACAGTCGATTTTCGCAAGCCTCTCTTGAATCGAATTTTTCACCAGCAAAATTGTTCGCCATGGACAGAAACAGATGGTAATCACTTGGTGCCAGGTCCGGACTATAAGGTAGATGCATAAGAACCTCCCAACCAAGCTCCCGGAGCTTCTGGTGAGTCACTATCGATGTGTGTGGCCTGGCGTTGTCCTGATGGAACACAATTCCTCTCCTATTGGCCAAAGCTGGCCGCTTCTGGGCGATTGCTTCCTTCAGACGGTCCAATTGTTGACAGTACAGTTCCGAGTTAAGAGTTTTGTCGTAGGAGAGCAGCTCATAGTAGATAATTCCCTGCCAATCCCACCAAATATACAGCAAAACCTTCCTGGCCGTCAATCCTGGCTTGGCCACCGTTTCCGCCGGCTCACCGCGATTCGACCACGACCGTTTTCGCTTGACGTTGTCGTAAGTGATCCACTTTTCATCACCAGTGACCAACCGCTTCAGAAATGGGTCGATTTTGTTGCGATTCAGCAGCGATTCGCAGATGGAAATTCGGTCCATGAGGTTTATTTTCGTTAACTCGTGTGGTACCCATACATCGAGCTTCTTTTTGTATCCAGCCTTATTCAAATGGTTCCAAACGGTTTTTTGTGCAATCTTTAGCTCTTGGGCAATCGAAACAGTGCTTACATAACGGTCGGACTCGACAATGTCCATGATTTTATCGATATTTTCGACAATTGACCTTCCAGTGCGTGGTGCATCTTTGACATCGAAATTACCGGAACGGAATCGACGAAACCAAAATTGCGCCTGATTGGTTGTTACAGTATCAGGACCATAAACACTATTCACATTTTCAGCCGCCTGGCTTGCGTTTTCGCCTTTATCGAAGAAAAACTGTAAAATATAGCGTATTTTCTCTTTGCTAGTGTCCATCTTCGACGCGCGCTCAAACAAAACTGTGTCAACTAGTCACAAAACTGTCAGAAAAGTCTTTTTAGTACGAAATCTCATCTTTCTAACGCCATCTAGTAGAACCCGATCGGACTTATATAACGCGAAATACAGATAACTAAAGCCATCTATTGGAAAAATAATGGATTTCTTTTTACTACACCTGATATATCTAATATAGAACATTTTTATTAAAATATATTTAGAAACTTCTTATTTCATCATACTTAAAAATTTGAAATCTTTTTTGTTTGTGATGCACATAAAAATAATATTGAGTACATGTTTATTAAACAGTATTTGCTTTTTAAATGTTTATTTCAGGGAGAAGCAATGCATTTGCTTACTGCAGGGGACGAAAGAATTTTAAATGATATTCCAGAGTCATTAACATTAAGAAATAACGAGATTATAGAACATGACGTTAATTATACAGGTAATGGTAGGTAATTATACAGGTAGGTAATGGTAGGTAATTATACAGGTAATTATACAGGTAGGATTTTTTCTGAATACATTGTAAATGTCTCGATAAATTATATGAATGTGTTAATCAATATTGCTCTGAAAATGTATAAATGCAGCACTCCTTACACTTTTTTATTTCAGATTATGAAGTGCTACATGATATGGGAAATGTTATTGAAGAAGGGTCATCTTTCAATAATATTCAAACACACTCACAAATTCAAAATGTGGAGATTGCAGAATGTCATCGTGAAATAACAGAACCACCATCCGCTATTCAAATTGATGATCCACAACGGCTCACAACTGTAACGCAAAGTTCGAGCAAGAAGCGAAAAAGACCACAAATTACAAGGAGTAAGTATTGCTATTGATATATACCTATTTTTTTATAACAGCTCAGTTTATATACGTAATATTTTCTTTCTTTGTAAGACAGTGAACGGTTGGGTATACAACTGCACAATGCCAGAGAAGATTTGCGATCCTAGCCGAACGCCAAATTTCATGTATGGAGGTAAGATCTATCTGTCATTCTCAGAATATAATTTCTTTGGAAGAAACGTGTTATTAACTCAATGCTTTAAACGTACTTTTTTTTATGTTTATTTTTACAGATGTTTGCAAAGGCAATGCAACAAATTGCGGATAATGAAAAAGAGCGAAATGAATGTCTACGTGCCTTTATAGAAGCAGAAAGAAGTAGAGAGACAACATATTCCGAATTATTAATAATAATCAAAGATTGTGTTGAAGTATTAAAAAAAAAAAATCTTTCACATAACTAGTCCGTATTTTGATCAGTATTTTATTCTTTTCTTTTAATTTACTATTATTTTTTCTTTATTACATTTATAGTTTATAGACAATAAGGGTTTTAGTTTAAGGACAATAAAGTTTTTATACTGTTTGCAGAAAGATGTTTATTTCAATAATATAAAATTTTAATATGAAAATAAAGCTTTAATATATTTAATATTATATAAAACTATTTTATAAAAAACATTATATAAGATAATGTAAAATTTTAATATAATTCATTTTTTTTAACTTTAATATACATGTTCTTTTTTTCGTTAAAATTGTTATCCTTTACGCACACATATTTATATAAATATTTGTAATTGAATTCAGACGATGAAACATTTATTCTGAGTCACAAAATGTTTATGGCTTCGAAAGCCATTCGGAATCAATATTCTCATTTAAAGCGTCAAACAATAGGGGATAAGTAAAAAAAACATTTAATCATTTTCAGCACGCTCTTCATCTTGTGCATCTCGATAATTAGGAAATCTTTTTCTCATAATTTGGCGTTGTATTCTTTGAGCTAAAGCGCGCGGTCCTCTTTGATGTAGATCTTCGTTATCAATGAGCCCAGCATTTTCATATTCACCATTATCAGCAGCTATTGGTGCTTCCAATTCTTCAACAGGCAAACGGTGTTGAATTCTTATATTATGCAGTACTGCACATGCATTAACTATTTTTGCAGCAAATGCTGGCCTATACATCAGTACACGCTGATAGGAAAGACATCTCCATACAGATTTGAAGACACCAAAAAAACGTTCAACAACGTTTCTTGCCTTACAGAGCTGTTGCGTATAATGAAATTGTCGGGTATTTTCAGGAAAATCGACCAATGGTGTCATGAGCCACGGTTCCAAAGGGTATCCAGCATCGCCTAATGAAAAATATTAATATTGTTACGAATATGTTGTTACTGAATATTTCGGGAAATAAATAAAAAGTTAAAATTACATGAAATCTTAATTATTCAAAAACAATGAAAAAATCTTGTTTTTCTTTCTTGTGTACCAAACGTTATTTAGTATTATACGACCGACGTGTGACGGTCGAACAAGGCGTCGATGTGAGCACACGGCTGTCACACAGAATATTCAGTATTTATAAAAATATACAAGATCTTATTACAGTTTTTTATTTTCTTTTGCAAAGTTCTTCGAAGTTCTTATTTTCATAAGGACTGAAGGTTCATAAGGACTAAAGGTTCACTCACCGATCAGCCAAGTTTTCCGTTCTCCTCGATTATAATGAAATTCCATTGCTCGACGAATTGGTGATGTACTCCAGATGTATGAGTCGTTTCGTGCACCTGGATATCGTGGATTGATGTTAAGCAGCTTCATCTGGATCAACAATCTGAAAGTATAATTAAATAATGCTACAATTAGACAAAAGTTTTGCAGGAAAACCAATTTATGTACTTCCTAAGTGATTAAACTTACCGCTTGCACATTCAAAGAATGGTGACCGTGATGATTAATGAACGCCTCTTCATTTTCATGAGGGGCTATAATATGAATAAAAGTACAGTCTATAGCAGCGATAGCACCTTCGAATGGGTAAATAGCAGCGGAGAATTTTGCACGCGCTTGCTGTCGATCTTCTTCGGTCATCGGGAATTTTACCCATCTACGCAGCAAGCGCCGATTAATCGCTTCAGTTACGGCATGGAGGCAACGGCTTGTTGTTGATTGGCTAACAATCCATTGGAATTGATTGCCAACGCTTCTTTGATAGCTGCCTTGCGCATAAAATTGTATGGCTATCAACACCTGTATTTAATGTTTCAAGATTATGTTTCAATATTATAAATTAAATATTATAAATTATTATAGTTTTGTTCCAATGTTACCTTTATTTCTGGCACTAAGCCAGTAAGTCGTTCATTCTGTAAATCAACCCTTAATGCAGTTGCAATGTCGATTACCAGTTCAGGAGTAAGGCGAAAATAGTCAATGAATTCATCTCGTGGGATGTGAAAAGGGTTTTGAGCATCTCTCAGCTGCCTTCTTGCCACACGCCGTTCGACGCACTCTTTCAACCACTAATCCTAATTCCCATGCCAAATACTCAAGGGCCATGTCCTCTTCAAATAAATCAACTTTTAATATACATAAGCTTAAATGCCAAATATGTCGATTTTATGGAAATAAAAATTCTTACGAGTATATAAATAAAAAAATCGAAAGGAAAAGAGCAAATTCATATTAACTTAATACAACGTTCAAAACATTATATAAGAATTAAGATGTAAATATACATTACTTTCTGAAAATCAATTATTATAAACAACGTCAATTTTTACTCACCGAGTTCCTTAAGTGTTAATTTTTCTTTTAATATATGTTTACGATGTATACATGTGAAGACCTTCTTAAATGAACACCCTCATCACTTCGACACTTCAGACGCTTCTAAACATTTTTAACCTTTAACTTATGGTTTGTTCTTTTTAGCTGCTGAATTGGTGCAATAAGTTAGAGTGAGGAAAATGTACTTGTCTCACTCTAACTTATTACACCAGATCAGCAGTACAGTTAAAATGAACAGACCACTACTGTCGTTATGTGATCGTTACGCGTACCGAGGGGTATCGAACCATGCGTTATGATAGCGACATATAACGACATCATACCGACGATTTTCGTTATGAATAGCGACAATAGTCGTTATCATTCGCGTACAAAATTGCATTTGACGTTATAGTGTTGTAACGTTATATAACGAACCGACAATTGTCGTTATGAGCACATAACGAGCATAAGAGTAAAATCGCTACAGATCAGCATAAGTTAAAATGAACAGACCACTATTCTTATTGATGTTACGTACGAGGGTATGAACCATGCGTTATGATAGCGACATATAACGACATCATACCGACGATTTTCGTTATGAATAGCGACAATAGTCGTTATCATTCGCGTACAGAATTGCATTTGACGTTATAGTGTTGTAACGTTATATAACGAACCGACAATTGTCGTTATGAGCACATAACGACGGCATAACGAGTTACAGAATCCCGCTACTGGGCAGCTCGAACTCGCGTGCGAGCCGAGGGGCTCGCGCGCGCGACAACCCAGATCGCCGCGTCGCGACGGCTCCGTGGACTAGGAGCGCCAGGGAATTTCGACGTTCAGGTGGCGTCCAGCGACTCGGCACCCCGCGCGCCGGGTCACCGCGAACTCAGGCGCGATCCTGAACAGCATATTCAAGCTGTGTACCATAATGGCCAATCATACGGAGAAGGTAGAGAGCTAGGGACAGCTTCGCGAACTAAAGTGTATACCACAGTGATCATGCGTAACTAAAGGGTAAAGAATGATAACTTTTGATAAAAATTAAATTTCCAATTCGCAAAATTGTGTAAATTATTGTATAGAGAATAATGAACGCGGCTATTGAAATTATGAAAGAGCCAAACGAACCGCACAGCCTCTTAGCCCCTTAAGCCTCGCTGAATCGACATTTGTTGCAAATTCGAAATTGAATATCTCGACACCTAAATATCCTAGCAGCAAATTTCAAATCGGTTTGAAAGTTTTGAAACCGTACTTTTCGAAAGATCTATCGAAATTGTGCGCAACGATATTTTTTCAAAATGGCGGGTGATAAAAAGAAGAACATGAAAAGTTGCTAAAAAAAGGTTCGAGCGTGCGACGGCGCATGGAGCAAAGTAAGTGTCGCAGCTCAATTGGACGAAAAGTACCTAAAAGTATAGAATGTTTTCTTTAAAATATTTCGTTATAGAGCTTGATGCGATATTTATTCACTGAATTATGCAAATTTAACAAGAAAACCGCATTTTTAGCAAAATTTGGAACAACTCAGTGAAAAATGATCACATCGAGCTCGGTAAAGTAGCATTTTAAAGATAACACTCTATACTTTCATGTGCATTTGGTCCCATTACGCTGCGATACCTGATGCACACCATGCACCATCGCAAACACGGACCTTTGATTATCAATTTTGCATCCTCTCACTTTATCATCCGCCATTTTGAAAAAAATGGCCGAGCATAATTGCCATTCAGATATTCTTAAAGAGGACGTTTCAAGCTTCATTTTGCATTTCTGCGCATATTTGTATCTTCATTATTTACCAAGTTATGATCATTTGAAATTTTGTAATTTTTTCCCAAATTTTTAGTGTACCGGGTTTTTTGCGTTTGAGTGTATTAAAAAAAATATCAAAACATGATATACACAATATAAAACTTAAAAATACTTGTATATTATAAGAATAAAAGTATAATTCATATTTCGTTGCCTTCATTATCTGTTTTATATTATACAAAAATATATTAATATACAAATTAAGAAACAAATACACATATTTTAAAAACTTCATATTCAAGATGAGCACATAAAAATATCGTAAATACTTATAAAATTTCTCTGGTTCACATATGATCCATACAGGGTGTCCAGAATGTGATCATTAATATTTTGTGTATTGGTAGATTGGGTGTAGCCGAGAAGAAAAGTCATGTACCATAATGTCAAATTAGCAATAGTTATCGAGTTATTAATTGAAATATGTGAGCCAATGAGCACGTAGAGAGCGCTGGGCGGCCGCCTCTTGTCGCTTGCGTTCGCTCGCTCGCTCCTCGTCGCGCGCGCACGCCTCTTGTCGCTTATGGTGGCCTCTCATACCTCTCTTACCTCTCACCGCGCGAGGTAAGACATCTTCTTATACACGGAGCCCGTCCTGTCGCTTTCTCATGCGCTCATTCGTTTACACATTTTAATTAATTACGGAATAAATATTGAAAAAATTGTAAAATGGCATAGGACTTTTTTAATTATTTTAACGAATTCTACCAGTACACAAAATA